TTGGCTGCCAGCTAAGTTAAACTATCACAACGATAAAGGTCACCATGGTCACATCCCAATGACAAATCACATTTCTATGAATTAACTTCAGCTATAACTAGACACATTCAGGATCTCCTCTCTGAATTTTCTGTCTCTCCATCAACCCTGAAAAACAAGAAGCTACCTTAAGCACCACCAGTTTATATGTACAGCCAATCTTCTCCTTGACATTACTTGACAGAAAAAATAGTTTCATCAAAGGGGTTCTCTCCATTTAAACCCCCTAAGAAGAAAAAAGCCTAGAAAGAGGAATTTCTGGATCTTTGGATTTTTACTGATACATTGATCAAAAGTTCATGATAAAAATCACCCACTGCCTCTTCTGCTTCTGCCCTCAGCCTCTGCAAGGAAGAGATCTTATGCTGTGTGTGTTCGGGGATAGACAGCAGCATGCTGTAAAATAATGCATTTTACTGTGCAAGTGTGCAGGGCGAGAGGGAGATAAATGCCCTGTTCAGCATTTGCCTATGTACCATGGAGAGAGTTCCTGAGCCCTGCTGCATCAGGGCTACCTAGGGATGGAAGGGCTGCCAGGCTGAGGGAACAGCACGCTGCCTCCAAGGGGGGCTCTTAAAAAGTTTTACTGGTCTTCTAGGGCTTGACTAATGCCTTCTCTTCCCTTGGCTTCCAAGATTTGACCCTGAATATACGATGCTATTCTTGCTGTGCAAAAAGCATCAGTGGTGGCAGGCATACAGAGGCAAATCTGCTCTTTGCAAATCTGCTCTCTAGAGTTACATGTCAAAATGAGTTTGTAAAACAACGCTACAAAAAGGATGAAATGCTTCTTACAATGCAAAGCCCACTGAAATCTACATATTGCTGCAATATTTATTATCAGCCAGAGCATATTATCTGAGATTAATAAATTATTCTTAGTCCATTTTATGGTAAGGCATAGCAACTGCCATAAAGCAGCATAGTCAGATAAAGAAATTTCACCAAAGTAACTTGTTTGAAATAGTTACTTTGTTTATCTGTAACTTTGCATTATTGATTGGGTTTGCTGAACTGAAGAGAGACTACGAAGTCATTCCAAAAGAACTACTGAGAAGTCTGGAAGCTCAGCCAATACAAAGCTAGCAGCAAGAAGACAATTTCCCTAAGAAAAAAAATAAGTCATACTTGGTTATTTTACAAATATGCAGGCAAATTACATTCTGTTTAAATAAATAAGAACTAATGCCAAACTTGCAGCTCTTAGTGTCTGACTGTCACTATTTTTACTGGTAAGAATTTTTTTCTTGCAAGACTATAGTGGACCTGAAACAAAGCAGCAACACAGGAGGATGCCTCCCAGTTTTAGTTGTTATGAAAAGCAAAGCTTTCATACAGGCATTCCAGACTGTCCAAAGATCCAGCCACATAAGGGTAATTTCCAAGACATCAAGCTTAAAAACGGATGTATTAAAAAAACAGCTCCTCCCCAAACACTGACTAGTTGATTTCCTTCAGACTGTGGTTAAAACCTTGGCATTGCTAACCCCACCTGGCAGATTTAGATCCAAGGAAAGATGTCGGAGTATTGAGTATCATCCAGTCACTCCCAGCTTTTGGCACACTGACTCTCCTGTCAGGTGCTGTGGGTTGCCATACCCTCACCTCACACCAGAGATCTGCAGCGCGGACACGTGTGTCCCAGGCAGCTGTCTGCACCGCCTGCAGTCAATGGAGAGGAACAGGCGCTCATGGGCTGGAGTCCCTCTCTCTCCCTAAATTAGCCAGCTAGAATAGGTCAAAAGAATTACCACCTGGACACACCAACTGCTATCCAGCCCATATGCAGGGAGGCCAGCTAACGAGCTTCGATGCAGATATCTACAATGCAAATGCCTCACTACACAAGATGAATCCTGCAGCACACAGAGACCACAGAGAGAAAGTGAGGAGCCTCACCAAGGCCATGCCCCACAGCCCCATACGTTGCATGAGGGGCTGCACAGGACTGACCCAAAGCAAATACCTACTGCAGGGTATTTGAAATCCCTTTCTGCTCCTCAAGAAGAAGCAGCAATAGGCAAATATATATACATACACACACACACATATATATGTATTTATAATCCTTATGCAGAACAACTTAAAAACGTGTGAAAACCAATCAGAAAAAGGTCAACTGTTGTCTCACACCTGCCACCAGCATCTACAAACTAGGCTTGGTATTTTGTTTAAGAAAGACAAGACTGCACAACAGCAATCCAGCACTGAAGGAAAAGATGCTGCCATCCCTTTGGAGGTGCCATGTTGTACTTCCCAGCCAGTATCCCACAAGAGGAGGAGACTCTCAGCAAGAAGATTTTTTTGTTGTTAACTGTATAACTATTCACAAGAAAGAGCTTACAAGCTCACTTGAGAAAGAACACACTCTATGGGACAGTCTTCTAGACTCTGAGGGCAAGTCTACCTCACTTAGACACCTGGCTTAGACCTACACTTTACTGCCTCCTGAAGCAGTCTTTCTCTGCATGCCCCTCCGCTGCCTTGTTATTCAGCAGAACAGTAGGTGCCTTTCCATGTCCTCAGAGGAAATTCCTGTCTGCTAAGTTTAGACGCTGAAATTGAGCACACAGGATCTCCCTTCGGAAGGCTTCAAAGGCACTTTCCTCTCTGCAACAAGGGTATGTAGAATGTGGGCTTTTATTATCCTTGGACTGCTTTGCTAAACGTCTCATAGTAAGGTACATGTTAGATGTCTAAATTAAGAATAGAGCCTGTTTATAAGGCACTATATTATAGATCAAGAAAGAAACGGGTTGAGTGGAGTCAGTATACTGTGCTAATGTCTCTTTTCACCTCAGCAGCTGCATATGTGGTGTCTGTGACTGAGAATGAAGTAAAAAAGAAGACAAATTGCAGATCACAGTCAAATTAGATTTTCCTAATGGGGCTTTTGAAATAAACTAACAGATTACTGTTTAAATAAAACCTGTAACAAGGATGAGTTGATGTTATATTATTAAATTTCTTAATTTAATTCTTAAGCTCCAGAGCCAGCCAAGTAATATTCAACACATTTACCTTCACAAACTGTGGAATTCATTGTGGAAAAGCTAAAAAAGCTTTTCATGGTTTGATCAATTCTCTAAGTGTTCAAGTAGCAGCAATCACAGAGAACAGTATCTGCCTGCCAGTCATATGTTAGGAGTATTTGCTAGCACTCCATGCTACCTCTTCTCATTAATTAGACAGAACCAGTTAGTGCAAAATCATGACGGGTTGTTTTATTTTTCTGGCTTATTATGTGTGCTATAAACTGAGAAAAAAATACTTAGCGCTTCAGGGCCTGGTGCTATTATGTGTGCTATAAACTGAGAAAAAAATAGCGCTTCAGGGCCTGGTGTTGTAACTAGCAAATTCAAATTATGTGTGAGGCCTGTCTATCAAGCAATAGTGTCACTGGTGAAGAAACCTCTCCTTCCTTCATCACCGTCAGAAGGGGAGCATGCTAATTACAGTGAAAGCCAATGCCTTGCCTTGCCCATAGAAAACTCCCTCTCTGCTTAAGGGGAATACAAGTTTGAAGTTACTCTGCTTGACCAGAAAATGAGTTAGTGGATGTCTGGTGAAAACACAAAAAAAGCAGTTCCCCATCAAACACGGCTTAAGTTTCCTCTAACAGGACATTGCTTTGGAAACCTCAGTGCTTTTGGCTACCAATGGCCAGGAAAACAAAGCAAAACTAAGTACCTTTAGATAAGACATTTAAATGCATCTATAATAAATTATATGATCGCAATGTCTAATGGCCTTTATTGTATCCCTTCCTATTTAATAACATCTGGAATGCCCATATTTTGAACTTCTCAGATAAAGTAATGTGTTTTGTGGGTCTAGCACAGGCTTCAGTGCCTGGAGGCTCTAGTTCTATTTCCAGCTCTGCTTCAGACCTACAGGGTGACCTTTACGCATAACCTCATTTTCCTCACCTATAAAATGGGGATATTAATACTTATTTACAACACAGTTGGTTCCCTTCCAGCTGCTACAGTGACTGAGCAAGCTCATGCATCTACAGAATTGCTAATGTTCACGATAAACTTTTTCTTTTTTTTTTAAACAAGCAATGCAGACATTACATTAAGAAATTATTTGTCCATCCAGTGAGCAAAAGTACAGAGAAAAACAACAGCAATGGAAAATCTGTTCAAAGACCCTCGCTAATTTCCTTTCAACAACATAGTCCTTCAGGAGAAATGTAGGTAGTTCTTATTTGACAGCAACTAGAAGAAACTTCTTGATGCTGCTTTCAGTTAAGAGAAAATTCATGTTTTTCCAGTGAAAGTCTAAACTAGTTTCCCTTTGCAGAGTTTATAAAAACACTGCAAGCTTTGCAAGTAAATAAAAGAGCAGAAACAATGTCAATTTGAAACTTTACCTAATAATGAGGATGGAGGGAAAGAAAGGAAAAGAGAATCACAGAGAGATGAGACACCCAGCCATCTCTTTCTAAAGAGAATGAAGCTGCAGAGAAGCGATGCTGGCGGG